CAGCAGTGTCATCACAGACTGCCTCATGTATATTTCCATTGTTTCCAAATCCATGCTTGAAATAAAATAAGTGAAGGGAAACTAAAAGTTATATACTGAATTGGTTTGAAATGCCAGCAACAAACTGACTTGTGAACAGAGCCTTGCACAAAGCTTTTCTGTCTTTCTAGATTTCACACTTCTACCTTAAATGTTGATGCTCAACACAGATGCCTCATCGTCCATTTTGAGTCCGTCAAACCTGCAATTATAAAGCACGGTGATGAGCACAGCTGGAAAGATGAGGCCTTTTTTATGCATATGGGTGGCTGGGTAATGACAGAGCTAAGAGATTTCATCCCTTATTGACATTTCAGCCTTTTATTGTGGGAAAGCAGGGATCATCTTGAGGGCTGGCCTTCAGGAGGGGGGAAAGTTCAACTAGCAGGGCTCCACCTTTTTGCAGACCTGACCTTACGGAGAGGTCAAAGGGGTCATCTGTTGGTACACAGTAAAGATGACGAAGATGTCAGTGCCTATGGTGAGCTAAAGGTGAGACGGCCAGTCTGTGTATCAACAGACACGGTCATTAGGGCATCATCGTCCACAAAGAGACCACATTCCCGGCTTGAACTCATCCTCTATTTACTCCTGGAACTCTAAAGGTCTTTTCAGCTTTTGTATGATGGTCAGTAATGTCCCTTGAGTCTCCATTTATTCTCTCAAGGGACCAGAGATGTGCTCCTTTTCATGTGTCTTAGGCTTTCTAGGCTCATCACAGTCTCTGTCAACCATGGACATGTGAGATACCATCCTGAGTCAGAGGCAGTGGTATTATTTACACTGTTGCTCACTAAACTCAGACTTTGACAGGAAAGCAGTGGAATGTGATGACGGGAGGTAAGGCGTGATTGGTTTTGTTTTCTTTTGGACTGTTGTTTTAACATTAGTTCCACCTCCAACACTGATTCACTACTGTTTATTTGGACACTAACTCAGACCTCTGACCTATCCAAATGGGTGGCTAATCCCGGTCAAAACTACTGTGGGGCCCTCACTCCCATTCCTTCACTGGTGCTTCCCTCTGGACTTAAAGGGGAGCAGCACCAATTTTAACACATAAAAGTGTGTTGTTGGACAGTACTGCACATGTGATGTTGTACAAAGTCTTTTGTGGCACCAGAGGGAGCTGTGCAAAGTCAGATATATTGCCTCAACTGATGTCACTTGAGTCAGAAACAAGTCACGATGCCGAGCCTCTGCGTGAGACCAGCGGCTCGAGGCTACGTTAGCTGCTACTAGCATAACATCACCACATTTGTGACCAAACGGTCCGCTCTAGCACATACCTTAGTTACACCCAGTGTACATTGACTGCTATCTTAAAACAATCAAAACACTTCAACCTTGAGCCCAACAGTGTTGAACTGTAGAAATACAAAATGTAACTGCTACAATACTGCTTTAAGTATAAGCTAACTTGCACAATGAAATGTTAATTGGATGTTAAATTGAATGGGTGTGTGGCATGTACAGTACACAAAACATTTATCTGCAATGCTGTGACAGTATCCTTATTGTGTACAGTATTAGGACACATGCACATCCTCAACATCTGCCGTTATGCTTGACAGAGGGAAACATGCTTGCTTGCCAGAGAATAAACCTATTCTTTGCAATGAAAACCAGAATCCAACATGATCAACATAAAAACCAGTCCACTGAAGTTTTTTTTTTTCCAAAACAATACTTTATACTGTGAATGTCAAAGACAACATGTTACAGTGAAGGTTCCAGAGAAAAATGTACTATTTCTGTAACAATGGTGGAACAAGTCAAAAACATAACAGATAAAAAAAGAATATGCATTTTATACATATGTAAACCTAGAACTGCTTTTGAACCACAGTGGTCATAGAGATAACTGGCTTATTTATTGGAATGGACAGCCATAACAACGACCAGGCATCTGGATGGAGCCCTTTAAGAAATCCAGATGTGGCAAAGAACCAGTCTTCCTAAAAGTCCACCACAGTCACATCTGGCCTGGTGCAACTGTCCATTCAGTTGTTGCAGTTTACAAAGCACCCCCCAAAACTCGTTTTCTACATAAATACAATAAAATCTATTGTCTGTGTTATAAGGGCTAGATTACATACCCCCACCCCCACCCCCGCTTTTTGTGTTTGTTTTGTAAAATATTCTAACCCCCCTTCCCAGTGAAAAAAAAAAAAAAAAAAAAAAAAGGAGACAGTTCAGTACAGTGAAAGTAGTAACATCCTTCAGTGCTCGATCCCTCGTGCTGATATGTAATATGAGCCAGAGAGACAAGTAGGCAGTGCATGCAGACATACAGATTATGCAGAGAGAAAAGACAAATGGAATGGAATCAGACCAGGCCACCTACATAAACAGACAGCTCTTGGACCTAAATGGACTGAACTATGAGGGTTAAAAGAAAAAGACTCACCTCCTCCTAATAAATGGAAATTATAACAACACGGAATGTTGGTGCCTTTTTTTGTTACTGTACATTGTGTTAAGACTAACAGTGAAGACAGAGTAGCCAGAATGTGCTAGTTTTGGCTCCATTAAAGAAACCAAAATATTCAGCAGTAGAAAACCTATGACTGGCACTGTTGTCCAAAGGTTCTGAGAATGGGCTGGGTGGAACTGGGTTACCGAAAAGCATCTGATCCATGATGCTGACATGCATAGGGCTGTCAGCATGTCTCAGTGATATTCAGGACAGTCTGATCTTCAGAGTCCAACCACAAATACCTCGGTATAATATGAATATGGTCCTAGGAACAAATTGTACAAAAAATACAAGACACAGTGATGAGCTTCAGTGGGTGTGAAAGGGAATGTATAAAAAAAACAGCATATCCTACACATGGGTAGAAGTCTAAACCATACAAAACAAAACTTAATATGTGATGCTCTGGGTCAAACCTTCTACCCTACAATATACAGACAATTTATTGCTCGTTAGCACATTTTTCTTTGTTCTTGTAAATATACAAAGTGGAAAAAGCATAAAGCAATTTGAAAATGACCCCTGACCCCTCTGTTCATCTACAGGCTCCATAGAAAAGGATCCCGTGGAGGTGATTTAGAGACATGTGAAATCAAAGGTGCATCTACAGGATGAGAGCATCATTGTGCCATTAGAGGTCACATTCATTCAGTCACAATGAGAACATTCACTCCTTACAAGTCTGATTAGGATTAAAAAATGATTTGGAAATTTTCAACAAGTATAAATTTCTTCTTGAGACACAAATATTGTTGAAAGGTATGTGGGCTGCAGCAAGGATCAAGCATCTGATCTTTTGGGTTCAGGACGGTCTTGTCAAACACCAGGACACCCAGAAACCCAGAGTTCTCATTTAGCTTGTGAGTGGAATTACAAATGTGAGATGAATGAATTGAAAAGCAATATTCATTTATAAATAAAACTAAGAAAAATAAGTAATGATCCAGTGGAATCATTTGTGAGGCCCATCATAGTGAGTCAATGCAGGAGAGTATCATGACTATGTTCCAATTCAGATCCAGCCATGTCCTTTCAAAGATGTCAGAGGATAAGACTGAAAACCTTCCAGGAAGAACAACAAGTGTAAAGAAATCAATCACCACTTTGGTCATTATTTGGAATTTCAATCTCAAATGTCTTAAAAATACTTTTTGGTGCCAGCCAAAGTGTGTGGAGTAGTATGGAAATGTGAGGCTGAGTGGAGGGCAGAACAGTGTTATGGTATAAATGGAATGGAGAAAGCCCAAAACTAGTCATCAGTGTTAAGAGACAAAAAGACAACTAGTAAAATGCTACTCAGCACGTAACTAACTGTAACCAGAGACGACAAACGGTGCCTTCAGTAACACGGTAAAAAGGCCAAAAGGCTAAAAGAGCCATGAAAAGTATCATTTCAATACCAACTTCAAAAACAGGATCATAATATTTCATTATATATAGATATATATATCCCCCAAAAAAATCATCATCATCATGTGATGTCCACTAAAAACAGAATCTGAACTCTCATATGTTGTGAAGTCAGTTTTACAATGTAACAGAGAACCAGGGAGGGGAGACTGAGCAGAGTGTACAAAACAAAAGCAAAGCACAAAAGTAAGTCACTGGAGTTCACTGAACGGCCAACAAAACCAGAGAAGCAACATGGATGAGAGGAAAAAAGGACTGACAAAGGCAGAGCACTCAGTGACAAATGTGTGGCAGGAACACTCAGGTCATCAGTGTCATATGTACAGTCAACACCACAACATGATTAGCTTTTTGATGCAGCAAAGACAGAAGGCAGTTGCCCAGAGGCCACACAAGTTGGAGGAATGGTTACAGACAGGAAGTGCACTGGCTGGCAGAGTACAGAAACAGACATGTACATTTTGTAACAAGGAAACATGTTTTACCAGCCAAGATGTACAACCAGGTTGTACTACAGTATATCTAGCTGGTGGCCGGTGTGTTGTATGGTGTGGCTACTAGGCTTGAGCACTGGTAACCAGGTCAGTTTAAGTTTCATTTCAAATAAGTAAAAAAACTCAAATTCAATAAGCAACAATGAAACTCTGGCCAATCTCTTACCTCCTGTTTTCTTAAACATTTATATTTAAAGCTCATTTCAAAGTATTCAGATCTGCCAGGCAGGTTTGATACAGTATTCAGTTTTAATATATCAATACATGTGAAATTAGAGCAGAATCTGAGCTACATGTGCCGTGTAAAGTTAAAGATTCTGCATGGCCTCATCCCAGAGACTGAATCACTGTCAAAAAAAAAACTGAGGATAAAAAGAAAAAGTGTTTATATGCTTGAATATTTATAAAGAGCAGCTTGTGCTTCACTGTATATGAACAGACATACACACACCTGCCTCATAGCACCTAACATTTGGGGAGCAGATGTGCTTAACAAGGGCTATGAGATGTTAAACCAGCTGTCAGAGCCCGTTGGGAAGACCCCTCCAGAAAATCCCAGCTAGTATGGTTGTCCACAGAGACACAGGTGTCTTAAACATAGGTCGGGTTCGGCAGACCATATTAATTCCTCTCCATCCCTCATTAAACTGCAAAGAAATGATGTAAATGTAAAACCAGTTACAAGTAAATCTGTGTTTTTCACTTATGATTTGACTCCATAGAGATGACAGTCCATCGTGCTTTGGCCTCATTACTACATACAGTATGAATAGCATTCTAGTGTTGCATTAGTACAGTGCATGCTAATTAATTCTTCACTTGAGGAGAACTGAACTATTTGATACATGATTACACAGAGTAATATCGTATTTTTAAACGAAACCAACTCCAACTTGTGGCTGGGAGCTACCTTCCAAGCTGAGTTTGAAAATGAGGGGAAAAGGAAAGATGAAGGTTCATGGAGAGACAGTAGGCTGTTTGCAGGAAATTACAGGCTAACATGCCAAGGTCCTCCAGTCTATGTGCCAACAACATGCAGGCATTTGCTGTCTTGCCACGATAAGAATGTTTAAGGAGTTGGGGGGCATAGGCCTTGTTCCCAAACCTGTTTTTTTTTTTTTTTAAGGCAAAGCTCTTTCAGTAGAGTTCAACAGAAAATCCACCAGGTTAAAAAAAAAAGGCACAAATGCAGGGTTTCTCACTGTCAATCATTATGTTATCAGAATACCTGCTAATATTTCACATGCTGCAAGATCTCCAACCACCTTGGAAACCTTGACTACTTTGTTCCCTTGATCCTAATATCTAAAACGAGGAGGAATGATCCACCTACAGTGCAGAGTCACAATCAGATCAGCTCTGGTGGTTTATGAAGAAAGTGAAGAGATGAAGAAAAAAGACAACAGTAAGAGAAGTAGATAACTGCAGATCATCTGTGCATGGCTCCAACTGGCATTCAAAAAGTAAATCTGTGTAGTGTTTGAAAAGCACTGGCACTCAGGGTTGTCATGTTGGACGGCTGAGTCAGTCCTCTTATGCCCAAGGTCTGGAAGAGGCAATGCAACACATTTGTGCTGATCAGTCTGTGCACTGCTGATCAGTGAATGCATCCCTCATCCTCAGCATGCCGTTTCCGTTGATTGCCACTTTTGTCAGCTTTGCTCACCTATGATGCCTGACATTGTGATATGGCAGAGGTGAGACACAGGAGTGGCATTTAAATTGGAACTGACTAGCTTTGACAGCGTCCTCACCCAAAGTCTGAGTGGTCAAAGGCTGAGAGTGTTTCTTTACATAGGATCATCCTCTTCCATCGGTTCCTCTTCAGCCCTGGGTAGAAGAGAATGCCACGATCAGTCATAATAATATCAGCCATACATGTGAATGCTATTATAAAGCCTGGAATTGCAAACAACCAAAGTACAATAACCACAGCATCAAACAAAGTTAAAGAGACTATACACATTTCTTTTGTGTTGGTAAAGATGAACACTTTAATCAACACATGTAACAATATGCGTGCACTCCGTCATTATGTAATGAGATGCAAAACATCTGCATGTTTAGCTTCTTTTAGCTTCTAGACATTCAACATTTCTCACCAGCTTGTTGCTAACCTTGTCTGCCTGCCACTTGGTGCTGGGCAGGTTGCATATACAGTGGATTTATCATAGCTATTTGCTGAAAAGAGCTGCCTGCTGTAGCTGGAAATGGCACTGGCAAGAAACTGAACCACTCAGGCCAGCAAACCAAAACGCTTAAAACAACTAAAAGCTGCAGAGTGGGGCTCCATCACAAAGCACGACACCGTTCACACTACATGTTAGTCATGTGATTAATCAAATATGAAGCAATGATTAGTGGAACATTAACTATGAGAAGTCACTGAGAAGAACGAGGCAGCGTGAAGTACCTCTTTCCAATGTGCTTGCTGGCAACAGACAGTGAGGCCATAGCAGAGACAGTCTCTGCTTCCTCTGTGTCACGACGGAGGGCTTCACTCAAGGAGCAACCAAGGGTGGAGGCAGAGCGCTGCAGGGAGTGCCAGTATTTACCTACAAAAGAGCAGGGGCCCCATTTATCAACCATGTGTACACACAGTTTTATGCTTTCATTTGTTCTGCAAATCTTTTATTTCACCATCCCGTAGAATGAATCATCTGTCAATCTCTTGTCCTGATGCTCTATGTATATTTGTTTTCAAACACAACTCCAAGCGTCTGGTCGAATAGATTTTTAATTGTTATTGTGATGTGAACTTTCCTGCACATCTGACGACACCAACAATCGTTTTTTTACTGCTCCTCCTTGGCAACACTGACTGTATATAAGATAGACAGTCTGACAGCTCCCAGACATGAAGCTGCTGCAACTCGATCGCCCCCTGGTGGCTGGTTGTAGTTTAAGTCATAAATCCTGCCTCCTCCGTGTTAGTGGATGGGACATGAGCCAAACTAAAAACTCAAAGTACAAATCAGATACATTTTTCCCAGAGGTCACTTCTGTGGTTGCAAAAATATCAAGATGGCAGTTGCTGTAGTCACAATAGTTTGGCTTCACTTTTGCATAGTGGAGGGAAGTGGCGATGCCATGTCCATCATATTAAACAGTCGGCGGTTTGCAACCTTTGCCCACTACAGCTCTACACATTAAGGTGGATTGTCAGGGCTGTGGTTATCCATGTTTAGCATTTTGGAGGTCTGTCTTTATGTCAGTGAGTCTGTATGTACATGAGTAGATACGTATAGAAGATGTGAGATGTATCGTGGTTCACTGCATTATGTTCTGCTTATGCCACTTTGATAAGCGCCAAATTTCTTTTTTCGACAGATGCAAACATTTAACACTTGTTCCACTAATACTTTGATAAATGAGGCCCCAGGACAGGGTAAAAAGTACATTTAGAATACCGTGCTGACACACTGGGTTACTGGCTAGTCATTATTGTGTGAACAGATTTGATGTTTTTGGCATAACAGACTGTCTATGCGGACTTCAGAGTATGCAGTGACCAGACAGACAATTTTCCATCTGTTTAATTTTCTGCTAGGCAAACCAATTAGAGCTAATGTTAATAAATATGATGTCAAATGATTAAAAAAAAAGAAATGGCACAAATTGCGTCTCCGTGTTAATACTCACTGTGAGCTTCAATAACTTTCTCGATAGAGTGGACAGCATTGGCATTTGGTCTCTGCTGTAGCACCTCGTCAGGAATGGGGTCCAACTGCAACAGAGAGGAAATAGTTTCAAAACACATTTCCAGCTTAACACTCTGCAAACAAAGCAAATCAATGGCACCGCATGTTTTACAGTAACAGCAGTATGTGTCCCCACTGGCCATGTCTGAGATTATTAAGCACACATCCTGCAGTCTAAATACTGCAGGGCAGATAACTTGGCACTAGACCCATGTCTATGGGGATAATCAGCTATGTGCATTTAATGTCTCAAGGCATTTCTGAGACGGGTATAGCGAGATATAACACTTCTCCAAAACACTGTATGAACCTTACTTGAACTAATGTAGTTCGCTCCTGGTTTGCAGGATCACTTTTGAATGTGGACAGCAGCCCAGTGTTGAAGCAGTCCAAGAGGTGGGGAACAAGCTTGAGCTGCTGACACACTAGAAACAAGGCCTGCAGATGCACACCCCCTCCCACTCACCGAGAGCTTTGCTACTCTATGACACATACTACAATGTGTGCTTTGTACTGTGTCGCACACAGATGCATAAAAATGGAAACAGCCTGCTCACACAAACACTCATGCACGCATTCAAAAACAGTCAGTACACACCTCAGGGAGTGCTACTAAGCCTACAAAACTGTCCACAATTCAGAGGAAACAGGGCTATTCCCCAGTGTGCCTTCCCAACCCGGAATCATTCAATTTCCCCTTTGGCCGACTGCACATAAGACACTTTCTCATCCCATTTTGTCAGACAGGGCCTTTCAGCCTTACATCCCGAAACAGATGCATCTCTTTCTCAATCATAACCCCAGAAAAATAAAGGACCAAGTGAGAAACATGTAAAGATAGATATAGCCAAAAGTGAAGCTTTGGCTCAAGACTTTGGGAGAGAGAAGAGAAAACGCTGGTCGGTCTCTCTTGGCCAAGGACCGGACCTTTACTTTTAATTAAAACAAATAGCGTGTGGGAGGGGTCCACTGGGGCTGAGAAAAGAGGCAGTCCGGGGAGAGGGATACTTTAATCCTGCTGTGGCACGACAGGCTACATCATGTACACAGAAACACATAGAGACACACATACATAGAGTTTGTGCAGGAATATTTTTTGGTTATTTGGTTGAGTCTCTGATCCAGAGCAACTTATAAAACTGCTCAGCAGTAGAGTCGGCTTAAACGCTCCATTGGCTATACAGACCTAAGAGACAAACTGCAAATTTGGTTCTGTGACTGCACATCAACCCCTCTGTAGTTTATCCATGTAAACCAACCCTATTGCAGCAGTTACCCAGGAGGCAAAAGATAAGCCCTCAACAGCTATTTTATTAACAAAACATGAGCATTCTCATAATGACTTGTGTGGAATTTACCACAAGACATCAGATAATTTCATGTAATATAATATTCAAGAATGGTTGTAACTCAAAACTATGGCACATCAAAGAGAACTTGATTTTCATTGTATATAATATGATACATTATTTTTCCTATGAACCACTTAAAACACACAGTCACTCTACTGATTAGCCACATTGACTAAGAGAGCATGTTTCTAGTTACACTTAGCACAGAGGGACGTTGGCTCGT